AAAAAAAAAATCATCGTGAACGCATGTCGTGATAATAAACATACGCTGACCGCATTAACGCCTAGGTAGGAAAGTATTAGCACTACTTCTAGTACTATATTTCGCTCTCTTAACTGTCTTGATGGTTTATAAATGAGGAAGCAGTAGTGGCCGGATTAAAAAAGTGACTTGTTGAGATTTTATTAAAATTCAAAAACTGCTGTACTCTATTGGTCCCCCCACATCAACTTTTTTATAAAGGAAAGAATAAAAATGCAACTCACACGTTGCCTTCTTCACAAATGCTAATCGCTGCAGCAGGATTGCAAAGAACGCAACATGCAGGTCGTTGGCTTGCTGTCAGAGGTTTGAAGGGGTGTTTTGGTTTGCATGCGCTGAACTGCACATGTTCAAGGCACGTTTTAAAGTAATACTGACAGAACCAAGCACTTAGCCATACTTTTTGCTTGGCATCCAGCAGACGCTGGAGGCTGAAGATGGTGAGGGCGCTCCGTTCCGTCCGGGTTAAACAACGGGATTGTCAGTTTGAAGGATACAGCTAACTTAACTGTCTGAGGACTGTATAATGAAGTTTGAGTTCTAAAAGTTTTCACGTATCGAAAGTGCCATGCAAGCTTGAAAGCGACCAAAATGCAGGAGTGGTAAGCTGTGGGCACGTATACAGTATCCATTTGGTAGTTTTGAAAAAATTTATTTCCATTATTTTCCAGGAGAAGCCCACGTCCTTTGGAATTTCTAATGTATGCGATAAATATTCCAAAAAAGACCCTTGAAGTCAGTTTGAAGATCCAAAAAGTGCTGTGCACTCACTGTCTAAAAAAGTGATTGAGAAAAAACGAAAAAAAAAAGAAGGATAGGAGGAAGTTTAGATCAAAACGATATGAAAGACAGTTGACGATGAGAAGTCAGTCAAAAGAAGCTGTACTGGGGTATGTGGGATCCGTTCAAATACTGTAATAACCTTAATCTTAGTGCTGTAAACCAAGTGAGAGCTGTCGAAGAAAAGAGGGACGTGACATACGGTCTTAACAATTAGTTTAAGAAGTGAAAAGTGAAAAAGAAGTTTCAAGGATACGGTATTTGTGCAAAAAAGATTTTATTGTTGCTTGTGAACTCGCGACTCTAGAATACCTTTCAAAACTTCCTCTGTCTTCCAAACCCGACGGCATCATTTTTGTCATATTAAAATTTATAATTCATTACGCAAACCGTGCGAAATTTCACTCAAACATTACACATTAGCATTCAGTATTCAGTTGTTACGACGGTTTATATTACGACTGTTTAAAAATTTATCGGAGGCATTTTTAACTGTTTTATTCCACTTTTTGCTAGAAGATCCTTGAATAAGTGGTGATTTCGGATGAACATCTATTGAACTGAGAAGGGACATCACATTCAGACTGATAAGTTTTTACACAACCTAGTAGTCTTTACTGTTTGTTCTGACACGTCATGGACCAACAGCACATCCTACCAGCTTCCCCGCGAACTAGCTGATTAATTGTTTTCCGGCTTTTCACATAAACTGGTTTTTAATTTCGTTGCAATAAGGGTGTATGTCCGTTGCTCCCGAGGCTTCAAGAAACGACTGTCAGACGAATCTTGCTGAAGAGCACAGAGTAGTGATGAACGGTAGTTATCGTGTAGGCGATTTTAAAGGTATAAGTAGGTGCCTGATCATGGCAGCAACAGTCTGTCGTGCTATGATTCGGTTTCTCCCTCTAAAGACTATTAAGGTAAACATAGGTTCAAATCGCACAAATTTACTGAAGTTATAAAACTGTTGGGGAGATGAGTCAGTAAATAAAGAAGATACTACCAGACAGAGAAAAAAACGACTCTTTGTTAGATCAGAGATAAAATGCCAGCGCTCAAAATGTCGAAGACTAAAGAATCCGAATGGAACCTAGGAAAATTCGGTAAGAAAACCTAATACATTGTAATCTTGCTGTGTGCAAACATTTTTCAAAATGACAAGTTTTCCAGAGAGTAACCAAAGGTTTTTTGCGAAGCAGGACTAGCTGTGGTACAACCCAGTCTCTTGTTGTGATATATTGTACAATTTTATTGAGGCTTTCGTTTCAATAACAGCTATCAGTCAGTTGAACGACGTTTAAAGTTCTATACTAAACAAAATTTTCAAACATTTACCGAATCTTTATGTACTAATTTTACTATCCGGTAGCATCTGTAAGGTGACAGCTGTTTAACTTCTTGAAGAATACTTAAAATGCAGAAGTTTGACTAAAGTTTGTTACCGTTTTTTCCCGTTAAACAGAAAAGACCGTTTTGACAAAAGCAGCTGTAAAAAAAAAGAAAACTTTGTTTGAAATCTTTCAAAACTTTTTTTAGAAACTTGATGAAGTTCTCCTAACCTGTTGATGAAATTCTATTCCGTAAAATTGTTTATTTCTGCATCTGTGGTGATCAAAAGCAAAATTTGTATTCATTTTAAAAATAATTGAAAGTTGAATTTAATTTTCATTTTTGAAGTAAATTCAGATTTTGCTTTCAATCATCACAGATGCGGAACGGAATTAAACAGTTTTATGAAAAAGAATTTTTTCAATTTATTCAAAGAAATTCTCGCTAAGTCTCTGAAAAGAAAAATTAAAGTTGAAAATTAAACTTAAATTTACAGAAAGCAGGTGAAAAAATCTCTGATATTTTGCGACAACGTTTTCACAGTTTCAAAAAGTTCTTTTTTTCTAATAGGCTTTTTCTCTAAAAGAAAAAAGCCGACATACTGAATAGCAACAACATAAGCCATGTTATCACCACCCTTTGGGGTATATAAACCTATAAAGCCTGAAACATTACAGCAGTTTTCCAGTCTGATGTACATTGCAACAATGTGGAGTTCGTATTATCCGAGACTGTTCTGCTGCCCTATTCTGCTTACCATCCTTTTTATTGACCTATTTGATCCTGTTTCACCCCGAAATCTCTTAGGTAGCCACTCAGATTCAAAAGGTTTTAAATGAGAACAAAGATGAAGAAGGAAAATATCACATAAACATCACATTTAACACGTTTTGTTTTTCGCCCTTCTTCTTTAATCTTCTGCACTATTTAGTGGGTTTTCAGCTCAACTGTAAAAAAATTTTGTCAGTTTAATAGCATCCACTCTTACATTTATCTGAATTGTAAAAACAGTAAAAAATATAAATTTTTTTTACTACTGATAAAGATTATCGTACCCGTTTGGCTACACATAAAATGTTATCCTAACAGCTAAAGATCAAGAAATACTTGAAAAATAAAATTTTTCTTAGAGAATCAGACCGGTAATAAAAAAAAGCACTTAGTTGCATTCAGAAAACCTTTCTTTTTTAACAATAAAGTTTTATCTTTTTTGTACTGAAACCAGACAAACAGTTTTAGCTTTTGAACTAACAAAAGCGAGACCGTTCAATACTAGACGTCGCCGATGTACTCACGAACTATAAGGAGTACAAGCACCTGTGTTCTAGTTCCACCTATTCGTTCCATATAAGGAAAAAATGCAGAGAGAGCTGTTTAGACTTACTACCAGGAGCTGGCAGTAATTAATTTTTGATATTCCTGTTTAGTTTCTGTAAACTGAAATGACTTTTTGGATTTTACTGGTAGATTGAAACCTTTAAGAAAAGGAAAAGTTAAATGTTGAACGTCTAACTATATAAAATAAATTATATTATGTTCTTCTCGCAGGAAACGATCACTTGTATAAATATGAAGATTAACATACTTGTTTAGGTTTTATTTGTTACGACCTAGATCCATGTTTGTTTTCGCCAGATTCCTGTGCGTTTCCTGAGAATTCTTATTTTGCCTGAAATCCTGTGGATATTTTCGTGATGGTAAGAAGGTGTCTTTGGTAGTTGCATTCTTCAATTTATGTAGAAAGCACTCCAGTGCTCAATAAATCAAACTGCGAAAAGAAGAGCAACGTGAACGAAGTTCCGACTCTTCAATGTTTTCGAAGAAGCCGCAATGCTTTTACAATAAGTCGGAGTAAAAAGTAAGAACAGGAAAAAACTAAAAACAAGAATTTTGAGCGCCATACTTTTCTATCAACGTTTATGTAAAGCTTTGTAGATGCACAGAATTTGCTAATTCTTTCAATTTTAACTTCTGAAGACACAGCCCCGGATTGTGCACTACGTGTTTGATACTGTGATGTACCAAAATGTGCCATGCAAATGAGAACGCAATGTGCCAAAACGTGCGGATATTGTTTTAACGGTGGTAAGTACTTTTATCTTCTCCAATATCTAAAAATAATCATTAATTTTTTTCAGGGATAGAAACTCTCAAAATAAAAAAACGTTTTGCACTAAAGATTAGGCTTATATTTTGAAATTATTATTTAGGCCGTATTGTTTTGATGCATATACCAAATGTTTATAAGAATGAAAACAAAAACGACACTTGATACCATCTTGTAAAAAAGCCTGCGAACTTCGCTGGACCGGTAACACGCAGCTTTTATTCATTTAATTTTTTCAATAAACGGAAACTGTGTTTTAGATTTCGACTAACGCTCTAAAACTTATAGAAGAAAACTAATAGACATTTAAATTTAAAAAATAATTGTCCTGAATAAATTCCCGAAGTCTCCGTTCTGTAGCATAACGGAAATTAAAAAGAAAAAAATCCACAAGAAGAAAATAATTGGAATTGTAATTGGATACTTCTGAGTGGATATTGAAACCCATTTCTGTAAAGGTACAGTGTTTGTTGATTTTTACCGACTTACAGAATGCGAAGACACAGTTACAAATTGTGCGAAATACGGCGCGCTGTGTAACAATGTCACCTACGCGTCGTTTATGAAAAGGCAGTGCAGGAAAAAATGCGGATATTGCTTTACCAGTCAGAAATTTTTGTATCTTTGTCTAAAAAGGAGTATACTATCTGACTTTTTTAATTTTAGAGTGTAAAGGTGAACTTTCAAACTGTGCAAAAAAAATTGGACTTTGCGATAAATTTGAGTATGCGTCGTTAATGAGCAGTCATTGTAGGAAGCATGTGCATACTGTCCGATGATCGGTAAGTTATCGTTGATAGTCTTGTTTTTCTTTTTCTTTTTTTTTTTTTTTTTTTTTTTTTTT